TTTTTTAATTTCGACTTAGACCACTTTCATAATTATGGGCACATATATTTCTGAACAATTTCAATGGACATAACATTTTTTTAAGAATTAAAACTGGGAGGGGGTACGAAATATCATCGATCACCATCGACAGACACAACGACACTTAATCGTTAATAGAAAGTCGATTGTATAGAATGATTGAGGAGGAAATACTACTAAAGCTTTTCCCGTGATTCGGTGAGCAAAATCAGCTGTAATCGGTTTGACGGTTTGTTAGGATCATGCCGCCAAGGAGAAGGCGCTCCAGACAATGTCGAGCATGTCGAGCGCCCAGATAGTATCAGCTGGGAGTGCGATACACAACAAGATGCCCCCCGCCCTCGTGGGACCCCTTGCCCTTCACGCTTCCACCCCTGTCTCCTATCCCGGAGCGGTAAGTCCCGACGATCACGGAGCGTACCCCTTTTTACGCCTTAGAACACTGTTTTTAAGCTGCCTGTTTTGTTTCTTTTCGTTGCGAGAAACTAAACAGATACGTGTAAAGGAGCCACGAGTTTTGGGGTGAGACGACGAGACACGCTTACTTACTCGACGTATCGAACGAAACCGTAAAGAGAGAAAGATGTTTCAAAACGAACGATGCACGAGAACAGAAAGAAAACCACGGTATAATCGTTATAACTACCAGTTCTAAGCGGGGGTCACGATTTACGAGTGCACAACACGAGATCCTCGCAAGGGTTAGACATCGACCCATGAATACATTTAAATATTTTTACACGATCATTACGAAACTAATGCTTCTGCTAACTTGTACGGTATTAAAGATTGCGTAGATACGAAATACAGAAATCGAGGGTTCGATTAACAGGCAATAAAACACTAAACGATGAAAAGAAAACCGTGACTATGCTCGAGAACTTCACTGATTTTTTTTTTTTAAGAATTAATTTTTTAAATCTGATTTATTACGACTGGACTATCGAGTATCTGTACTCTCGATCTCTTGTTGCCCCTCGTGATCGGTTCTCTCGATGGACGAACGAACGATGTGTCTCGTCGTCTTTGAGGATCTGTTACACACCTATTGGGTTTTGGCTTCTTCTTTTTACGTTCTTAATCTGTTTCTTTTATTTATCATTACTCTTGTCTCTAACAGTGCATTTAGACCAAACGAACGAACGCTCTTTTTTAATAAATCAACGCATTGTTCTACAAAACAATTACTGTTCAATAGAGAATAAATCGAAATCTTTCGTTCACTCGTTTGGCCTAAAACGCACCGTAACCGCTTCGCCCTGTGACTGTCTCTAATCCGCTTGCAAAATTGCTGGACTCACACCGGTTTTAAAATTCTGTCGCTTTTGTAAATTTAATTTACATTTTTTTTTTTTTTAAGTAGAAAAAAATTTAAAGAACATAATTATTATTCTACGAACCAGATGATTGTCAACCTTTTCTCTCGCGTTCAACTTTCATCCCACCTTTCTCATACTTTCTATTCATTTTTCCGTTCGAGTCGCGTTGAACAAAACGATCTCCCCTTTCTATAATTTCTGCTCTCTCTGGGAAGTTGCGCGACAGAAGACTAACCATCCTCAGTTAAAAAATAAAAAATAAAAACGAAACCCCCCGCTCTCTGCTGCTGTACGCCCATGGGGGTCCTTGTTGTGTATTGTTCGATTTGTCCGTCGCTCTATCATTTTTATACATACACATGTGTCATCTGGGTACATCACATGCACACACACACAAACACACACACACGTGTGTGCGCCTGTGCCGCCTGACTCATTGGATTTTTGCCCCGAGAACGACCTTCGCATGCCGCTAAGCGGGACACGTACCCGTCCGTTCGAACTGGGCCAAAATCCGACGAGTCAGCTGCTGCACTCGTGTTTGTTTCAATGGGATCACGTTTTTCGATATTAATAATGGACACTTTGCGAACCGTGTCAGCTGCTGCACTCGTGTTTGTTTCAATGGGATCACGTTTTTCGATATTAATAATGGACACTTTGCGAACCGTCGCTGTGGCTTACCAAACTGTCTTTCTCTCTTCACGTAATACGACTACCACCACATACTGTTCACCTCCACTCGTTTCGTTTGTCCTAGTTTCGTTATAAAAATTCTATTCATTGTCACAGAACTGTTCATCTTTATTCACCGTATCCGTAAGCGCCCGAGGGCTCTGTGGCTCGCGGAGGAAAATGAAATCTCTTCCTGACACGTCGCTTTGAATCTCCTTTCTCCTTGTTTTTACGAGCCATTTTATTTAACCGGCAATGCTCATTGGTGCTGTTGTAACTAACGCAAGTAATTCTACCGAACGACATTCCGATGGACTCACGCGGTCTTAAACGGAGCCATCGTAACGCGGCATTCAACCTAGAGAATAAAAGGGAGATACTTCGTTTCCTCTTTAAGAACCCACAACGTTGTACTAACACGTTCGAAGCTACAGTCATTTGTTCCCATCAATTTTATTATATAGAAGCATTTGCATAAAACGTTTGGCTTCACGATGTTCGATTAATAAAACCAAGCAAATCTGTAGCGTTCGAACGAACCGAGTCCAAGCGTTTATCTAAATTCAGCAACGATTTTGCAGCAATTCTGGCAACCGGGGTTGCAGCCGGGAACGTCGCAAGATGTCAAACCTTTCTCGCAACCGGCGTACACCGGGAAACCGGCGACAGCGGTTTCGAGCGGCGACATGGTCCAGGCTCAGCCGCCCCCGCCCTGGGAAGGACGTGCCATCGCGACCCACAAGCTCAGGCTCGTCGAGTTCTCAGCCTACATGGAGCAACAACGAGACCAGGATATTGTAAGTGACCTCGCGTAACGTAGAACAATTTCGGTCCAACCGAAACTCCCGCGGAGAAACAATTATATCTACTCTGTACTTCGACGATCTGACATAAACTTGTATATTTCATACGACAGCGTTCGTTCTTGTTTGAGCAAATTTCAATTAATAAATCTACAAATAAGAGAACTCGATTTTTTCACAATTTAGAGCCTCTTACAAACACGTGCATTGAGACAGAAATTAATTTAGCGCGTAACGAGTCAGCGTTCACGTTTCGCTTCATTTAACCGGAGCTCTTTTCATCTGTGCGAGACGCGAGGTGAACGCAATGAAACGAGATAGTTGCACGTCGTCCCGCGTTCGAAGGGACGTTGAATCGCCTTCCGCCTGAACTACGGTAGCTCTCGTAGTTTTAATAACGAGATCGAGGAGGGAAACGCCGAAAGTCGCAGTTACGGCCCGAGCAGACTGTGCGAATTGTTTTTTTCCGTGTTTTCCTTTTACAGTACCACAAGCACCTGTTCGTCCACATAGGGGGATCGGCGACTTACGCGGACCCGCTGTTAGAAGCTGTCGACATCAGGCAGATATATGACAAATTCCCGGAGAAGAAGGGCGGTCTGAAGGAGCTCTACGACAAGGGACCACAGGCGGCCTTCTTCCTCGTTAAATTCTGGGCTGATCTCAATACCAACATTCAAGACGAGGCCGGAGCCTTTTACGGCGTCACGAGCCAGTAAGTAACGGAGATGTTCCAGTCGGTGAGAGCTCGAAAATCGTTCGAATTTATCCAAAATAGATGAAACGCGTTCTGATCCGAAATCACGTCGACGACTTAGCGACGAGTGGATTAACACTAGATTGCCCAAGGAAGTAATTTTGACTGGTTTTGAGCAAATGTACAAATAAT